GCGAGCTTCATGACATGGATGCACGTCATGCCAACTCGAAGCGTGCTCTGCTAGAGGAGATGAACAGCAGCCAAGTCAATCAAGCCAATGCTCGTCAAACGCCTACACACAACCGCAAAGACAGCGAGAACAAGCGACCATTCTCCATTACGAACACCCCCACCAACCAGCGACACATCAGCAACGCTACACACGACTCCGCACGTTCTGATCGAACTGTTGACACAGTCGCGTTCAACAATCGCATGGACATGGCTGCCGAGCTTGAGATGGTGCAGAACCAGCTGCAGATGTCGGAAATGCAGAACAAACACCTTCAAGAGCAGCTTGGACGCTCGCCTGAGCGCAACGGCTGGCAGGATGATAGCCCCTCTGTTCGAAGGGTGCAGAAATTGGAGCGTGAGAACTACCGTCTGCATGACATGCTTGACGACTCTGCTACCAAGGTTTCTGCCCTTGAGCATAGCCTTCGTTCCGGCCAACTCTCCTACCAGGAAGTCCAGACGAAGTCTCACGAACAGCTGTTCGATCTCTTGACATCCCAAGAGCAATCGCGTAAATCGATTGTACAGGCTCACAACACCGCAATCAATGAACTCGCCGACGCCAAGACGGCCTTTGACGACATCAAGCAAGTCAAGCTCTCGTTAGAGTCTGAGCTGCGCGAGATGCAAGCTGAGCTCGAAGATCTCACTAACGAGCGAGAGGAAGAGCACGCCAACCATAACCAGCTTCTCCAAGAATTTGCTGATCTCCAGATCCGACTGGACAACGAGACATCGACATTGGTCGATGTACAGTCAAGCTTGAACCTGTACAAGAGCAGGGCCGACGAGTACTTCAGCAAGTTGGAACAAGCGGAGATCGCCGTATTGAGAGCATCTCGTGCTGAGCAATTCGCCAAGACTCAAGCGCGTGAAGCTGAGGAAACTTGCGCAACGATCATGGCTGAGCGGAAGGAGATGGACGGTATGGTTGAGGACTTGCAGCGAACGGTTCAACGGTACGACGAACGTGTTGAAGACCTCTCGACCGACCTACAGACAGCTCTGCAAGCCAAGAAACGACTACAGAACGAGCTCGAAGATTACAGAAGTCAGCACGCTCATGACGTCGAGGACAGCGAAACCTCGCTTGAGCAGACACGCAAGAAGTACCAGTCTGAGCTGGCATCCCTTACCCAGGAAATTGACCAGGAGCGCGAGAACGTAATCCACGTTCGCGAAGAGAATGGCCGACTACGGGAAGAGATCGAGGAGCTGAGGAACAAATGGGACGACGAGCTGCTTAACTCATCGACCTGGGCAAAGGAGAAGAGCCGTCTTGAGATGACTCTGCAAACCATCTCCAACTCGCGCGACGAAGCCGCCAACGCGCATAACGAAGCGCAATCCAAGATCGTCAGCCTGCTATCACAGGTCCGGAATCTGCGCACCAACGTCGATGACCTTGCAGCCGAGCGCGATTCTGCCATCGAAGAAAAGAAGCGTCTCGAATCGCGTCTGCAAGAAGCTGCTGATACGCTCGATGAACTCTCTCGCTCAGAGTCTCCAGCTATGCGCAATGCAGCTGCTTACGATCGTGACTTGTTGGAGCTCAAGTCCGGCTTGGCACAACAGGAGGACATCACTGCTGCTGCGGTGGGCAAGATGCGCCGCGCAGAGGCCCTTGCCCAAGAGCTGCAAAAGGATATCGTAGCTGAACGGGAAGCCAATGTGAAGCTTCACAAGGACAAGGCGGCTGTCGAGAAGGGTCTGAAGGACCTGCAACTTCGCTTGGTCGATCTCGAGACGAAGGGCTATAGCGGCTCAGCTGGCAAGGACGTCCGCTTCCTCCATGGACGCATTCAAGAGGTATGTTGACTCAGATCACACTAACCCACATCATCGATTGATGCTAACTCATCCATCAGCTCGAAAAAGCGCTCGAAGACAGTGAATCCACTCGTCTCTCCGAATCGCGTAGCGTCCGCAACGTGGACCGTACGGTAAAGGACCTACAGACGCAGATCGAGCGCCGCGACAAGCAAAACGCGTCTGTCATGGACGACCTCAACAAGTCGCGCGACAAGATTTCCGGCCTCCTGGCCACCATCGATGACCTCCAGTCCTCTGACTCGACGAACCAACTCGCCGCTAAGCGCGCCGAGCGCGAACTTCGCGAAGAACGAGAGAAGACCCTGCGTCTCGAGCGCGAACTTGAAGGCTGGAAGAATCTCCGCGTTGAACGCCGTAGCGCCCTCGGCGTCCCCGCAGCGCCAGCAAGTGAAGCTGGCGACACGCGCTCACGACGAGGCAGCTCCATCGGCCTCCTAATGGGCGAAATGGGCGAAGTCTCTGCAGCCGACAAAGGAAAGTACGGCGGCAGTCTACGCTCCAATCTCCGTCGTGTCAGCGGTCAGAAGGGTTTTTTGTAGTAGATGGGATCTCTGAGGGGAGGGGAGCATGGAGATCCCGGTATCCCATCATGAAGCTGAGCCCGCCGTTGGAAGAAGAAGAGGGCTTTGCAACGAGAGTTGTTGATGACGCAGTCAGGAACTATCAGTGGCGGCGCGCTGCTGCTGTTGCCCCTGCTGCACCTGTTACGCAAGTGGTCGAGTTGGACGAGAAGGAGTATAATACCCTGGCAAAGGTTCTGGGGAATGATACACCAGGTGGTTTCCCACTTGAGGGCGATCAAATGGATGTAGAGATTACGGATGACGAGGACGAGGCTACACCCGGTGACGATGGGGATAGCGCTGTTGGCGGTATTGGCGCTGCGGGTACTGGTACTATCAAGAGGAAGAGAACGGTTCGTGTTGTAATCAGGTCGAGGGCGTTTATTTAGGCGGCTGCTGGACTGTTGTGTTACGCTGCGCTACGAGCTCTGAATACCCTGGGTCCGGTTGGCATTCGCATGGTTTTGTTATTTTTTGCAAGGCGTTTCGCGTTAGCATCATGATATCTTTTGGACGTCGAGGATGAGCGCTTTAAGTGTTTTACATACATGTAATTATTTTGCAATTGTTCTTCTTCTACTTTGCTATAGTAGGCTTCCATTGAATGCTAGTCAGTGGAGTTTTGTAATACGAACGAGCTTCAGCATAACAACATGCACGCACAAAGTGATTCAGTGGTGTTAAAGTGAGCATTATGGCGTAGTGCAATGGTATCAATTAGTCGAAGATGTCAATATCTAATTAATATATCTGGCGAACCAACATCCCCAGCATCTAGAAGCAGAAGACTTGGTCCTCGAGCTTGCTGACTGGCTTTGCCTTGGCGTAACCCAGGCTCTCGGTTGCCTTCTTCATGGCCGCAACCATGGGCGGTGGTCCGCAAATGAGGATCTTAACATCGCTCGCAGGCGCGGGCAGCTTCTCCTTGATCATGTCGGCAGTAACGAAACCAGTGCCGCCGGTCCAGTTCTCGGGTGGGTTGTTCAGAACGTAGTGGACATTGAACTTGGGGTCCTTGGCCGCTAGCGCATCCAAGTCGTCCTTGAGCAGGATATCCTCGGGGTTGACGTTGGCGAAAATGAGGTCGACGGCGGTCTTGTCACCAGTAGAGCGTCCGCGCATGATGGCCTTCGCGATCTGGAGCATGGGCGTGATACCAGTGCCACCAGCGATCATACCGAAATGCCTAACCATGTTGGGTGTGTAGACCATAGCTCCCTTGGGGCCTTTGACCTTGATTGTGTCTCCAATCTTCAAGCTCGCGACGTGCTTGGAGATGTTGCCGGTTGGGTATGACTTGATGAGCAGGTCGACATGGCCCTTGTCTTCGTCGGATGTGATCGGTGTGTACGAGCGGACGACTTCTTTGGGCTGACCGGCAATGGTAGCGGCGAGGGAGATGTGCTGGCCGATGGGAAGGCCGAGGGTGTCGGTTGGGCGGGGGAGGTCGAAGCGGTAGATGGCGGTATTGTGCGAGAGGACAGTCTTCTCCGAGAGCTTGAAGTCCTGGAATTCCGTCGGCTTCAGCACCTTGCGGCTTCCACCGCTGCTGCTGCTGTACCAGAGGAAACCTCCTATAACTGCAGCAAAAGCTACCGCGATAGGTAGAAGCTCCATGAGTGATGGCATTGTCGGCTCACGAGGGGGAAGGAGCAATTAAGTAAGGTAGGAAGCGGGGGGAGAGGATAAGGAAAGTGAAGAGGTGGGGAGAAGGAGAACTGACAGGGTCGCCGTGACAATTCCCCGACAACCTATCCCCCCGATTGGCTGCTGAGACGAGACTTGGCAGGGTTCAAGCGCATCATCGCATCGCATGCGCGCATTGGGGAATCGCACCCAGAATCTCTTCATTCCGCCAGATGCCTACATCAATTGACCAACCTACGACAACATTTTGCACTGTTTGCACAGCCCCAGATTTTTACATCATAATCCTGGTTCGCATTGATGCGAGCTCAGGCGCCTTGGCACGTGATTACTGAACTTCACCCCTAAACCATCGCATCTTGCAGAGCTTCAACACTATGGGGCCAGAGAGGTCCATGACGCCCTAAAATCCCCCGGAACGCGTGCGTCGATGCTAAACAACCCTTACCGAAAGCGGAAACATTACTTCCAGACAGCGCGTTTGAACGTACCGACTGCTAGGTACACCACGCGAGAGACATGGTACCTAGTTCAATGTCGGATGCGGGTGCTAGTTGTTCAGCGCATCCGACTTCGAGCTACCGACATGCTACATATCAAAATAGATCACCAAGACCACGCAACGCCGACGCTAATGCTGATCAGCGAATCCCCAGTGGCTCTGTGTCTTCCGCTCCACAGACTCGGTGCAACAACGTTGAGGGAACCGCGACCGAAGCACGACTCGTGAACTAATGTGACATAAGATCTACAAGGCAGACCCGTTCAACGTCGTTTCATCGTATTCATGGAGGTTTAATCTCTGTCATATTTCGGATGCATAGACATATCGTGGAATCTCTATATAGGTAGCGTTCCGTTCCGCAGTAGGTATTGATTCACACCACACTCGTTTTTTGTTAATTCTATCGCCATGCGTCTATCAGCCATACTTTCGTTAACGATCGCTTCGCTATGTAGCGCACTGCCTGTCAATGAGACTGCGGGCAGCTGTTCGAACCCGCGCATCAGGAAAGAGTGGTATGTGTTTCGGAGCAAAAGCTACCCGTCTGTGGCTCCTACTGACATTCTCCTAGGCGCACTCTCAATGCTTCTGAACAGAACGCTTACATTGATGCCGTTCAATGTCTGAAGCGGGCGCCTTCCAAGGGTACCGAAGTATTCAGCACTCTGAAGACCAGGTTTGACGACTTTGTCGCCTTACACATCAACGCTACACGAGGTTGGTACTAGGCATCATCCACAAGCATACATGTCAGCTAACAAAATGCGACAGGCGGTCAAGATGTCCCCTCACTCGCCAATGATCCTGAATCTGCTGGTAAGTACCCTTTGGGAGACATTGCCTACCGAAACAACACCCATACTAACTGATCTTACTCTAGCCAACGTCACAATCTACGGCATTCACACGGTTGGTGTCTTCCTACCTTGGCACCGCTACGCCATCTGGGTTTTCGAATCTGTGCTTCGCTCCGAATGCAACTACACTGGTGCACAACCCTACTGGGACTGGACTCTCGACAACCCTTCCACCAACGCCAATGGCTCCATCTACACCTCACCTGTGCTGAAGGCTTTTGGTGGCGACGGTTCCGGCACAGATGGTTGCATCAAGGACGGCCCATTCGCTGGAAATGCGTCTCTGAACATCGGGCCTGTTGAATCTCTGGCGTCAAACCCGCGCTGCTTGACGCGCTCTGTTGACTTTGATCTGTTCAATGGAAGTACCGGTTGGGAAGACATCTATCCAGCGACCATGGAAGCAAAGAACTACTACCAGCTCCAGGCTTTCATCGATGGGCTGAGTTTCGTCAAAGATGAGGACAAGATCCGTACGAGCGCATTCCAGTCGCCGCATGGTCTAGGGCACATGGCTATTGGTGGTGACGTACGTAACCTTGTCCTATTGCAACCCTTTCTATGTGCTTCCATACTAACACCCTACTCAGATCAGCGATATCTACTCCTCCCCCAACGACCCGCTCTTCTGGCTTCACCATTGCCAGCTCGACTACATGTGGACGCTCTGGCAGAGCCGCGACCCCGTCCGCCTGACTGACATCGGCGGCCCAAGGACCATAGAGGGCTTTGGACCTCCCGCTGACGCCGTCGAGCAGACTACACTAGATACACCGGTCTGGATGGGGTTCATGGCCGAAGATGTTGCCGTGCGTGAGGTTCTGGATACGTTGAATCAAGAAGGCGAGGGCGTGCTGTGCTACAAATATGAGGACTCACCGTCGGTAGCTGGGCGGGAATTCTAGGCTCTTGTAACTGGAAAGCTGGCAGTTCTCTGTGCATTTATTTTATTCATTCTTTTCTCACATGGCGAACTGATCATAGCGTCCATACAGTTCAATTCATCATACTTCTTCGTCTCAAACATGCGTCGCGTATTCCACCGTTGCCAAATATGTCTATCAGCCCGATAAGCCTTTTTGTATCCCTTCCACCTCCTGTTGTTCGTAGTCAACTGAGCCACTCTCGACAGGCTGTGTGTGGGACACCTTCTCCCCAACCCCAAACTCCCTCAAAACCAACCATGCCGGCCATATCGCCACACCCCACAACGCAAAATTCCAATACACAGCTCCAACTTCAGCAAATACAGTCAGACTCGTAATACCGTAACTGACAGCCTGCCAAGCACTCTCACTCCCTCTCAACAACGCGGCATAACGAATGACCTCAGGCTCGTCTACCGCTAACTTGCCAATGATGAAGTATAGGAACAGGTAGTTGAGTTGAAAGCCAGCAGTCAGAAAGATGAAGACGGCGAAAGCGCGCCCAAAGCCAGGTGACGTCCAATCGTATGTTGGTTTCGAATCGCGAAACTCAGTGACGAGTATCGTTGCCCAGAGCCACCAGGCGCCTTGTAGAACGACGATGACCCAGAAGGTACTGCGTGCGCGGGCACGCAGAGGAATCTTGGTGCGGTCGAGGTATTGGCCGAGTAGGTTTCCACAGGTCACTGCGATGATGCCGGAGAGGAACGACCCGAGAGCGCGGGCACGCACGGAGAACCATACTGTTTTTCAATCAGTACTGGGCGCTCTTCATGTTTTCCGAAGGTAAGCGGTATAACTTACGAGCAAGATAGGTAAAGAATACTGCCTCAGCGAAGACAGCTTGCCCGATCCAAAGAAGGATGAGTAAGAAGCGCCTGGTGAAGAACAGCCTCGTAATTTCCTTGATCTCGACCCATGGGTTCTCTAGGATAGCCAAATTGACTTTCTTCCCGTCCTTCCTCTGGACTTTACCCGGACTATTCAGGAACAGTCCCACCACAGGTCCAACACATTGCAAAGCGATGAAGATCAGATACACGGTGTATGTGACTTTACCAGCTTGATCGCGATCTGCGTTTAAACCAAGGTTGATAGCTCCTCCAAGAATCTGGCCAGCAAGCCGGTATGTGAGCCAATACCCCAGTGCCTTTCCTTTGTTCCATGGTTCGGGGTATGCAATCGCGATCGCAGCTTCGGCCATCCAGAAGACCCCTGCTGAGATGCCGCAAAGGGAGGAGCCGAGGTAGATGAACCACTCGGTTCCGAAGCGGTTGTTTGTGTAGAGCGCTGCTGCGTAGGGGGCGTAGCCGATGCTGTCGTTCGCGTTAGTAATGCTATGCGCTCATACGGGGTGTGGTTGCTTACGTTCCAAAGATCAGTGCTCCTTTGATGCCCACGTAATGCACTATTACGCTACTGAAATAGCAGCTCACGACCATGAGACAGAATGTAAGTGCGTTGCCTGCGTTGACGAGATGTGGTGATTGGGCTCCGCCGGCACCGAGACTGTTCATTGCGCCCCAGATACCTGGTGCGCTGAAGTTGCAGAGTCCCAAGATGGTCATGTTGAAAAACGTTGAGCGGTACCATTTGACTGCTATCTGTGAGTCTATTTTGTTTGGGTATTGGATACTTTGATGCTCACCTGGATAGTCTCGCTTCTCAACTCCTTCGTCGCTGCCATACTCAATCGAGGTGTCTGAGTTGGCCATGGTCAACACTCCTGCAGAAAGGCGATGCCAAATGGATAGGAGTTCTGATGCCCGTCATACTCGGCGTCTCTGACCCATTTGATAGATATAGCGACTACACGTCGCGAAAATGCTTCATGCCACACTGCGTTAGTACAACGCGCCATACAGCTGCATACTCGGCACAGGAAGTTACCGAGCTCCACTCGATACAAAGCCTGTGCAATTAGTGAGCCGCGTCTCCGGTATTCCCAAAACATCGTCCCAGATTCATCGGAAAATCTCCAGACGCAGCGAAAGGCCTGACGGTATGCTGTCCCGGTCGTACCTCGGACACGGCATGATGATGGGATAGCACGCCATCTCCAAGGTACTTGACGATGCGATATGGGGCAGTCATCCTCAACGGTCGGTGTGGGTACGAGATAAGGCCTAGTCCATACTGACGAAACCGCGGTAAGAACAGTAGCGTAATCACGCAATCTCCATCCAAGATTATGAACCACAGTGCAAGATGTGACATTCGAAAAGAGTGTGACTTGTAGCGAGAAACCACGAACCTTTTGGAGCGGGCCAATTTGCGAGTAGATCGTCTGCAGGCGAGCGAGTATGCACTCATTTATTCGAACAGCTCGATACGAGTATCTATGGTTTCCTCTCTACACCCGGCACATCCCACCAGCGCTCATGAAGATCCCTCAAATCTACTTCCTGGCCAGGCGCCTTGAGATATGAGGTCAAGTCAGTCGATTCATCGAGCTCTGCCTCAGTGTACCCATTCCCAAAATAGGCGAAGCGATTGCCCTTGTGTTCGCGTTCGTACTCCCAATCTTCCCATCGGGGCTCCCGTCTAGCTATGGTAAAGTGTGCAGCTGAACCAGGCCATAAGCCGTGAATACGCTGTCCAGGAATTCCGCCATTGTTCCAAGACGAACACTTATCGGTCAAGACTGTGGTCGGGAAGAAAGCGTCACAGTAGTCGACAAAGTCATCCGTTGCCTCTTTCGATGGTGATAAGGACTTAAGTCCTTGTGAAGAGACTTTGCGAAGTACTTTGGCGAAGTAAGTGAGTGACGTCTCTACGCCATGTGGCACTGTACCCGAAGGCCCCGTAGCATGCGGTCCGGCTAGGAAGAATAGGTTGGGGAAACCGGGTGTAGCCAGACCTAAATATGTGTAAGGAAAGCCCCATTTACCTCCGGGCTTCCATGCTTCGTGGAGATCCTCTCCGCGCGCTTTGATCGAAAATGGTGGAACGAGATCGGTGTTGGCACCAGTCGCACAGAATATCGCATCAAAGTCGAACGTTCTGCCATCGCTCGTTTCGATACCTGTAGGTGTGAAACGCTTGATAGGCGACTTGACAAGCTCCACGTTCGCTTCGGTGAGAGACTCCAAGTAGCCAGGCCCCGGTGTGAGTCGTCTGCAGTGCGGGGCAAAATCTGGTATCAATCCATCGAGCAGTTCGGGTTTTTGCGCTACCCGCTTCTTCATGACATCGATGAATTGCTCTCGCATGCCCTGATTCTCGGTTGATCCACGAATCATGGCACGGAATCGTCTCCAGTATCTATCTTCAAGATCTTTCCTGAAGGCCAGATACACTCCAGGGTCTTCCAGAGCCTTGCGCTGTTCCTGCGAGTATGGCTGTGGCTCAAAGGTCCGCTCATCGCCTGCCCACGATGTCGCGATCCACGTTGGATTACGAACGAAGTGAGTGATGTGTTTTGCAATGGGCTGTAGGTTTGGCACGACCTGAATACCGCTTGCGCCATTCCCAATGACAGCGACCTTCTTGCCCGTCGGATCGAACGAAACGTCCCAGTTCGATGTGTGTCTTAGATGGCCTTGGTAGTCGTTCAAGCCCGGATAATCTGGTAGCTTCCAAGAGTTGAACCGGCCAATGGCGGTGATGACGAAATCGAAGGTCTCCGTCGATGTGGTCTCATCTTTGAGGTTCCGCACTGTCACCCGCCATTTGGACTGTGCATCATCCCATTCTGCTTCGTCGACGCGGTGCCGAAGTCTGACATACTTGTAGACGTCGTGCTTCTTAGCCTGCGCCTGCCAATAGTCACGGATCTCAGCGCCTCGCGCGAAGATCTCAGACCATTGCGTATTGGGTGAGTATGTCGCTTGATACACATGAGATGGAATGTCGCATCGTACGCCGGGGTACACGTTCTCAAGCCACGTGCCACTCTGCACGTTGTCAGCGCGATTTTCTCCCACAACTCTTGCATGCACTTACAACATCGTCGTTCTTCTCAAAGATGGTCAAGTCGATGCCCGGCACTTTCGCTGGCAGAAGGATACCTGCATTGATACCAGCTAGACCGGCACCGATGACAGCGACGCGGAGGCTTCGTACATGATCGATGTACTGCGTTGGGCTCAACTGCAGCTTCGAAACGGGGTAAGAAGTTGGTAAGGCAGCGTGAGATTCATCTTGTTTGGTGCATTCTGCTGACGCGAGATGTTCTGCAAGCTGTGCGACGCGTCGCGATGGTGTTGACTCTTGCCCCGAAGCCGTTAGATTGGCCGCGGTTGCTGGAATTGGGCTTGGCGTCATTATGGAAGCGGTGCGTGTCCTCGCTGTCCCTGGAATGATGCCCTCTCGTCGGACGCATGTCTCTACCCATGACGACTTTAAAGCCCCGGGGTAAGCTGCGTCGCTATCACCAACTTTGTTCCCAAGCACCGATGCCGTAAGACGCTGTTAGATGCGCTATCTTTTCCCGGCCTGCAGAGCCGCCGGTCGGGCAGAAGTGCAATCACGTCTTTTCTCCGCTTGCTGACGAAATCGGCTCGAAGCAATCGCGGCGGTTGTCGTGCTCGCTCCCCTGCACTGACGCGACTTTGCGCTCTAGAGAGAGACAGCAACTAGGACAAATTTACGACGCCCAAGAAGACATCGACGGCGTCGTCCCCCATTGGAGGATGCGACCCAGAGCAAGATCGCGTTACAATGCACATCTCCAAGCTGACGCACACTGATATCGCATCTCGGTCACTTACACCAGATCTAGGACGTATCGAGTCTCTTAGAGCATTTAATTTTGTTCAAATACACGACATCTCAGCTTGCTTAATCGCATTTGCTTTTCACTCCGGAATGACGTGGTCCTTAGCATCGACTCCCGCCTTCCACCGATACGTCGATGCCACGTGCTCCTCAAGCGGCCCTTTCTGTCCTCCCTTCGCATAGAAGTTTTCGCGATAAGTGCCACCAGGCACAGCATAATCGTCCCAGAACAAACCCCGCTTCTTGAGCTCGGGAAGCAACAGCTCAATCATGTCCACAAACGACTGTGGAAAGACGGCGTACGCCTAGCTCGTGCATCAGAGTCAATACTGCCATAATAACCGGGATACGACTCACCATGTTGAAACCGTCAACGTCGGCCTCGTCAATCCAGACTTGCAACCCATCCGCAACTTGGGTTGGGGTTCCAACAAGAATGGGACCGTTTCCACCGATGCTCACGTGCTCCGCGACTGTATGCTTCGTCCATTTGGAGGTTCCAGGGGAGAACCGAGCGTAGCCTTCGACAGTAGACCGCACAGCGTTGCTCTCGACGTGACGCAGTTCCTCATCGTCTCCGTATTTTCCAAGATCAATGCCAGTCCAACCACAGAACAGCGACAACGCCCCTTCCAAGGACGCATATTTGCGGTAATCGGCAAGCTTAGCCTGGGCCTCTTCTTCGGTTTGACCGATGATGGGTGTTACAAGGGCAAGAAACTTGATGTTCTTCCCTTCCCGACCGAACTGCGAAGAGGCAATGTGTCGGATTTCTGCGATGTTCTTCGCACAGACCTCGGGCGCATGGGCGGAGACAAATATGGCTTCTGCATTTTGTGCTGCAAAGGCTTTTCCTGCCTTCGACGCACCCGCCTGGAGGATGAGCGGCGTACGTTGCGGGCTTGGCTGGCATATGTGAGGACCAGGCACGTTGAAGTACTTTCCCTCGTGGTTGATCTCGCGCACCCGATCGGGTACCGTGTATACACCACTCTTCCGGTCCAGTACGACTGCATCATCTCTCCAAGAAGACTCTAGCAATTTGTACATGACCCTCACATATTCCTCAGCCTGCGCGTAGCGCTCATCATGCTGAACTGTATCAGCAAAGGTCTCTGGCCAAGCCGAGGTACACGAAAAACTAACCGGCAGTTGCTCCTTCATACCCATGTTACGCGCAGCCGAGTCGAGATAGCTGGTCACAATCTGTAAAGGTTATTATCCATGCAGCGATCGAAGAAGCACATTTCCTCACATTCCAACCAAGCCTAGATCAAGTCAGTCCCTGAGCCAGGTAAGGATAACAGATGTCTCACCTTCCCTTCGAAAGATGATCGACCGTCGATAATCTCCGAGCAAGGTGGTACGGCTGTTCATATGTTGTCGACACAGTCACACCGAACCCGATACTCTTGGTGACTGCTGCCATGGCACTTACAATGGCCAAAGGCTCATTGACTGGCCATTGCGCGCCTGATATTTTTGCAGCATCAAGATTGCCATTGTAGACATCATATCCACCGAGCACGTCGGCTACGAAGATACCATGAATTTTGGCATTTTCAAGCAGCTTCGCAAGCTCTACCCAGTGCTCGATGTTGTTGAACTCATGTGAACGGTCATCAGGATGTCTCCACAGGCCTGGTGACTGATGGCCACTGCCTATTGGAGGTTAATCGTTAGCTAATGTCAAGTTGCTCGATCGACTTGCTGCTCTCCCATGTAGATTGGCTTTATGAGGGGGCGTCACGTGAACTTACACATCTCAACGAAGGCATTGATGATCAGCTTCTTCTTGCCTTTCGGTGTCGCATCAGTCTTTCGCCTTGCATTCTTCGAATTTGCAACACCATTCTCTCGGTTTCGCTTCGTCATGGTAGGAATCAATGGTTGTTTCGCAAAGTATCGAATGGTATCGTGCGGAAGAAGTGTCGTGGTTTCTGGAGGTCGGATGATGTGCTTTGAGCGCTCTCAAACGCAATCGCTTAGGTATCTGCGGGATGCGTCATCACGTCAACTCCGAGGTATCACTATATGTTTGTCTCCGATGTAGGCCCTTCTATCTACGCTACGCGACGGTAAGTTGAGGCGGTAAATTGATAGTATGCCGACTACGCGTATTGTGCCATCTTAATCCACAATGACAACAGTTATTCGCGCACCTAGAGAGTCTTTATTGTAGACTTGCAGATCGCATCTAACCTACTTGAGTAATCTAAATGCGCATTCCCGGAGAAATCGCAAACAGGAACCCGAAAGTTGGCGATCAGAAGCCAGTTGAGGAGTTGCATTGTAGGAGAATCAATCTACCACCAACGCAAAAGGCACACACCCTGAGCAACCTGAATTTCAATCTTCATGATGTTGCAAGTCAAGCGGACTCGTAGTATCACAGCAGCGTCTTCAAAAGAGACAATATCAAAGAGACGTAAAACAATCGAACGGGTCCAGCAAAAGGGCAAAGAAGAGACGCTTCCCAGGGTACAACCAGCATTGAAACTCCATGCGATACGCCAACCATACGAAGTCTCCGCCGATCACCCTCTTCCCAGCATCCAACACGACAGCGAACTCCTAGTAAAAGTGCAAGCTGTAGGCCTCAACCCAATCGACTGGAAAGCACCGTACGAACTACGCACCCAACCCCATACCCACATATCAACTAACAACCCTCCAGCGACTACAACTTCGGCATTCCAACCCTCCCCTACATCTCCGGCCGAGAATACAGCGGCACAGTTCTCCTCACCCCAACAACACCCTCGTCTCGCATCAAAAAAGGCGACCGCGTCCTCGTCCCCTCAACCGACTACCGCGACCCACGCAAAGCCGCATACCAACACTACAGCATCGCATCCACTTTCAACACCATCCGCCTGCCTCCCAACCTCTCTCTGAACTCGGGCAGTATCCTAGGCGTAGCTTTTGTCTCCGCCGCCCTCACACTAGGGATATGTCTCGGCCTCGATTTCTCCGACATTGAGGACGGGCCTGACATTCTCGGTATTGTACGGAGTCTGGATCAGGAGGATATACCGGGTGATATACGACAAGAATGTTTCCATAGTATCGGCGTCAAAGAACGTATCAAGGCCGGAGACTACCTGGTTATCTGGGGCGCGGGATCGGTGTGTGCGTTCGTCACGATGCAGATAGCGCGGCTCGCTGGGGTGAAAGTCATAGCAGTCGCGGACGTAGTGAAACACGGTTCCAGACTTCTGGCCTCGGAAGCAGCGCGACCGGATTATCTCGTTGACGCGCACGACCCAGGAAGAGCGGTGGAAGTAATCCGCGCATATACGGGGAAGACAGGCGCGCGGTTTGGCTTCGACACGCTGGGCAGAGAAACGGCGGGGCACTTGATGAGCGCTCTTGCTCATCCTACTGTTCCAGCTTCATCACAGGTCAAACTGCCGACTCCGCCGTCAACACCGCATACCCCCGTCTCTACGGCGCAGCGATCTCATCTCGTGGGCTTGACGGGTCTGCCAAAGGACGACGTACCGAAAGACGTTGTGCTGCACAGTGTGCCGATTAAGCTGTACCACGAAGTGCCGCAAGTGGGCGAGGCGCTTAGTGCGTGGTGCGAACGGCTGCTCGCCAAAGGGATGTTGGTACCGCCGGATGTTGTGGGTACGGTGGAGGGGTTGGAGGGCGTGAATGCGGGGTTAGATCGGATGAGGCGGCGGGAAGTCAGTGGTGGGAGATTGGTTGCTGTGTTGAAGTAGAGTGAGGTGAAGAACAAGAGAAGAAAGGGGGGTTGGTGCGAAATCTTGAAATGGATGAACATGTGTGCAGAGGTAAGGATATCCCAATGCATTTTGATATACAGTACAAGTCGCGAAAGTCCCTATCTCGCCTTTTTTCGCAAAAGACTAGACGATGAATCTGCGCAAAACGCAGTGGTGGTCATCCAGGGTATTGGTCATTCGTAGTCGTCTTCGTTACAAACTACGCCAATGTGATCCCCTTCGCTGCGCCAGCCCAACTGGGCAGCATCAATGCCAGCAAAACAAAGCACCGCAACGCCTCTTCAAAATGCATGATTATGCCAAAAGCCGTCAAGTTGTGGCTGCGTTATTGCTACACCCCTCCCCCAATGCGCCCATGATGCAAAGTCCAAGTCCATGATGATGGGTATAGAGAAAGAGAAGAAAAAGGCAAACGTGGAAACCTAGAAAAGGGTATGCGCTAAAAGACAAGGCTGATGAAGATGAAGATGATTGCTGCGTTGTCGTAGGGATAAAGAAGTCATTTCGGGTATTGAGTTACGCGGTTCGTGACAAAGGGTTTTGTTCAAAAAAGCGACAGGAGTAGCAACGTTAATGTTCGTCTTCGCTGCTCCACGCGCCATCGTCTTCTTGATCGATACTTTCCATGACTTCCTTGATGACGCCGTGGCTCTTCGGGTCCAGATTCATGGCTATCGTGAGGTGGCGGATGGCGCTCGCGCGGTCTCGCAACTTCTTGTAACACCTACCTAGCAGAAAATGTATGTTGGGGTCGTCTGGAGCAGCGTCTTTCAGGTAGAGAAGCTCGTGTAGGGCCTCTTGCGGCGCGTTCAACTTCAGCAGGACTTGCGATTTGCGGAAGCGTGCCATAACGGAGCGTGGTTCGATCTTGATCGCGTTTTCGAACTGCAGCAATGCGGGCTCAGTCTTCTTCATGCGGTCCAGAACCTGCGTACTCATGTTAGTATTCGACAGACAAATAAGGGCAATGATTACTCACCAAGCCTATCCGAACAAGGAGCATGGCGTTGTTCTGGTTGATCTCCGCCGCTGCCCGATAGTGCTTCTCAGCCACTTCGTACTTGCCCAGACGCTCGTAGACGTTTCCAAGACCGTACCAACCGTTGTAGTGCCTGTTATCGGCACTGATGGCGTTGCGATAAGCCGCCATGGCTTTATCAAACTCCTCATTTGCGACATGCTCATGACCTTGGAGGGTGAAAGCATAGGCGAACTTTGGATCCAACTGGGTAGCTCGAGCGAAGCATTTGACGGCTTCGTCATGCTGCCCGTTTATAGAGCTTGCATTACCCAGTGCACACCAAGCTTGTGGAGAGAGACGATCTTGATCCATCAGCGTGTGTGCAAGATGACCCAAGGCCACCTCGTCCCTGAGCTGCCAGAGCGTATTGGAATATACTTCCATATGCTCTGAGGAAGCAGGTGCCAGTTCTCGTATCTTTCGAAACGTGCTGGCTGCGTCTGTGTAATGGGTGCGCTCATAGTGGGCCTTGCCGATCTGCGCCAGGACCCAAGGTGTTTCCCGCTGTGACTTGGGCACGAGTCCAAATGCCTCAAGTGCCTTTGATGCATCATAGCGACTCAGATGCCTGTATCCAGAAGCTATCTTGAGGAGCAGGTCCAGGAGCCAGCTCAAGACATCTCGGTCCCGTGAAGTATCTGCGGGCGGACCCATTCTTGGGGGCGGTGCGACAGTCGTCTCCGCCACGCTCCGTGGTCTCTCCGGCTTTGAGGGCTCAGAATTGTCGACATGCGGTTTCCTGTTGCCACTAACAACTCTGCCCACAGTCGAGCCTGTCCCTGAGCGTGGCTTGGGAGCTGCCGCCCTTGCTTTCCGTAGCTCGCGCCGCTCTTTCGACTCGAGGTCTCTGCTTGATGTGCCGCCTGGTCTGCTACTTGAAGGCCGAATCTGAGTGATGGAGTTCAGCAGCCGTACACTGCGCCGTGGGGGAGCTGCTGTGGGATCGAACGGTTGCGATTGCTGTTGTGAATGGGAGTGAGGTTGCTGCGGTGCTTGTGAGTGGGGCTGTGGCTGTTGCAGAGAATGGCCAGATACGGTTCTCTTATGTCCGTTCTGGTACACGGGCCGCGGAATGTCCGTCTGATCACTCTCGGGGTTTGTCTTGGTACGGGCTCTTGATGTTATGGGGCGCATTTGGACTGGGCCGCCAGCCTCGCCCATCATGGCGTGCTCGTCGTGCATGTTTTGGCCGTTGACAAAGGGGTTTTCGACGTCGTTGTATGAAGGCGGCTGCGCGCTGCGGCCATTCATTCTAGGCTGAAGGTTGTATGAGGAGGCGGGAGGGAGCATGTCGGGCGTAATTTTGAAGATGTTGTGAGGGCGGACGACGGCGCCAATATCGCAGAGACCGGTGAAGGCATCCCACATGAAGGAGTTGATCTTGAGCGCGGCGACAAAGTGTTCAATGGCCTTTTTGGAGTCGCCGTGGGCTGCGTACAGCTTTCCCAGCATGCAGTAGCAGGCGGCGGCGTCGGGCACATGGCGTCGTGAGGTCTCGGAATGCTTGTCTGTGCCGAATGTCAATACAAGTCACCAGTGTTTACTCCTATAATACTCACTCCAGTGGTTGCGCCCTGCCCAGGAACTGCGCATCTTCTCCAGCGCCTGGGCTCCCTGCTCGTAGCGGCCGAGGGCGAGACAGGCCTGGGCAAAGACGTAGGCGCATCCTAGATGCTGGGTGTGGTTGCCCTTGGCCCGCGCATCGTCCAGGGCTTGCTTGTATCTCCCCAGACGGAGGTTGCACAGGGCAAGTAGGTGCGCGGCATCGTGGCTGCGGGGGTCGAGGGCGTGCAGGCGGCCGGCAAAGAACAGGGCGTTTTCAGCGAAGCCGTTGTCGAGGTGGTAGTATACGATCTGGCGCAGCTGGGCATTTACGCCTGGGGGTGCTGACATGCTTGCTGGGCGGCGGCGGAGACAGGGCGGAGACTCAAGGTAATGCGCTCATAGTCGGGGCGGCGTTGGCTGGAGCGGCGGCGGTGGTGATGTTGCGGGCAGGCGGGTGGACGCGGTCAAGGTGTAGGTTTACGCGCTACGAGTGCCAAGACATGTAACAAAACAATGTCCCGCCTAGAGACGCACGACGTTTCTGTGCACACGTCCAGCCAGTCACAGCCACATCGCACCTTCACCATGGCCAAGGTACGCCCGCCCGCCCGCCGCCCACTCCCACGCACCCGTCACTGACAGTCCCCGTAGAAAGCCACCAAGACGCTCGCGGCTTCCAATGCCCAGCGCCTCAACCAGACCCTCTACATCACCGTCGCCGTCCACGGCCTCTGGTGGCTCCTGCGTGCCCTCGTCTTCCGCGCCTCACTGTCACGCAAGTCATTGATCGTCTATCTACTCCTCTCGGCTCCGCAACTGCTCATCCAGCTGTACTTCGAGCGCCTCTCGCGCCCCACCCTCGATGCCGATGGCGCCGTCAAGCGACCTGGCGAAGACCTCGAAGCCAAGGGCCTGACTGAGTACATGTGGGATGTCGTCTATTGGACGTATGGCTGCATTGTCATGGCTGCCATTGTGGGAGACTACGCCTGGCTCCTGTGGATTGTGATCCCCGTCTACAGTGCCTATTCCGCTTACACCACCTATACGGGCATGAGGGGTGGATACCAGGATGCAGCCGGTGTGCCCCAGCCGCAAGCAAGCAAGAGACAGGCCAAGATCGAGAAGCGAGGTGGCCAGAAGATGCAGTACCGGTGAAGGCCAGCGTCAGATCATCATGTATTATATATACAGCATTATACATAAATTTAGGCTTCAACCCGCGTAGGGATCTTCGGGATGCCTCGTTTGCGGTCCTGGTGCGGCACACCATACCGCCATCCAGCAGCCGCGGCGCCTCTGCCGTCTCTGCCTGCAGCCTCTACGCTGACGTCCTTGAAGACGAAATCCCACCTCCGCTGCGGCACCACTTTCATGGCCCTCAGCTCCTCTTCCTTGCGCTTCTCTTCTTGCCTCTTCTTTGCTTGCTCTTGTTCAAATCGCTGCTCGGCAAGCTTCTTGCGCTCTTCGAACGAAAGTCCAGACTGCAATTCACGCTCAGCCTGCACCAGTTCTGGATGAGGGATGCGTGCGTCGGCTGGCAACAGCGTGTTGTCAAAAGCCTTGCCAGCATCTTCACGCGTGAATTGCCGAGACTCAGCAACAGGCACAAAGAGCTGCTGGCGTGTCGCGGGATGTACCGCGAGGTCGTTGATGGGCTCGTGCGTGATAGGACGTTTGTTTTTGTTCCCAGGGAGCGAGGTATCGATGTGTGGGGTTGTTGGAAGCATGGAAAGAACCGCCTTGGAGTAAGGTAGCGCGAGTGTTTTGCCCTGTGCACATTGGATTAGCAATTGTAATACAGTGTGTTTCCGTTGTTTCAAAGAACAAGCCGACGACGTTCAGCAAGAGCATGACTTAAGTTTTGTAACCATGTGGATGTCTTAAAGACTAATCGATTTTTAAGAAGCTCATCATGTCGTGTTGTGGGGGAATTGATGAAAATGTGAGAACATACCTGCGCTATCCACTCTTTCTCCATTTGCTTCAGTCGCACAACAGCGCCGACGCGTTCATTGCTGACGCCGAACTCGACACTGGCGAGCGATACTGTCGCCCCATCTTTCTTGACTCTCCGCCAGATTGCTTCCCGGAGGTCTTCGCTCAATACTGGCTGGCTGCGGAACCACTGATTGAGGGGAAAGGGCCGCAAGTCCTCTGCCGTCTCAGGCGGAAGCTTGCTGTCATTGTCCGCTTCTTTCGGCTTCTTGGTGTCCTTCTCTTCAGCTGCACCAGACTGAATGGCAGCATCTAGTGCATCCAGGCTCTCCTGTCCTGCAGGTGTTGCCTTTTCTGTGATCTCCTCTGCCTTGGCCTCTGCTCCAGCTTGCTCTGCCTCAGTCGAGGCAGCAGCCTTTGCACCTCCATCTCTCCGCCATCCAGGGCCAGCGCGTACCAGATTGCCGTACTTGTCGTAAGCTCCTAGGTAGTTTGTGGAGTCGGGTATAGGTTCCTTGAGCTGCCGACCTGGCCCATTGAGCCACTCATAAAATTTCCGCCGCCGTAATGTGATTTGTGGACATGGTGTCTGTGAGAAATGTCGCGAATGCCGTGATGGGCTCCAGGCGACCTGTGGCCGTGCAGCTAAGCACTGAGTGGCCTGCGATGGGGTGGCCGGTGTTGAGAAATTTTGACACCGTAACCGAGGAGGCATGTTGAAGATGTGGGAGGCTACCGCATTGGCGCAGGTATGGGTTGGAGATGAAAGGAACAAGAAGGGAAGTCGTGTACACGTGAAGAAGTCTAGTGGTGGGAGTGGTAGGTTGGACTGCAGAGAAATGAGGAGCTCGCAGGAAATTCTAGTGACGCGCTACGTGCACTAGTGTCTTGGCACAAATGAGCATCGTGACCCTCCACCCGACGACTCCCTGGTGTACAATATAATCACTGAAATCTACTGACGCTTCTGAACTTGCTAGCAAGACATTTCAGGTGACAAGAGCGGCGTTGATTTCATCAACAACAGGACAGTTTTCGCTAATCAAAGATAGTTACAGAATAGGATGAACCTTAGAATCATCATGCCAACCCACATTTACATCAGTATCGTATAGTATACATGTCCACTGCAGATATGGACAAGTCAAGAACGCTTTCCATCGTGACGTACTGCATCATCGTAACTTGGCGGCGGTTCCTCACTACTGACCCTCTCTGTCTCCATACTTCGACGTCTCCTCTCGTACTGTGGCGCACTTGGTGACTCTTGACGAGCTTCATCCAGTGCGCGCTGAGCCTCCTCTCGTTTCTTTTCCGTCCTGCTATTCTGCTCTCGAGTTGTGATTGGCGGCGGTGGCGCCGATGATGAAGAGCCATAAATTGCTTCATGTTGCTATAAGAGCCGGTCAGCTGACATCATGACAAACGTTTCAAGATCGAAACATACAGCAATAGCCTTCTTCTCCTTGCGCTCGAGTCTTTTCTCGGATATGGTACGTCCCAGCTTCTCGGCACCAAGGCCGAGACTGATGGCAAGGAGGCCAGCCTTGGTCATGTCAGTCAGTTGTCTTGTGCAGCTTGTGCATTGTAAGCTTACCATGGTAGGTCGTTCGGAGAAGTTGGAAGTATTTTGGGCGCTTGTCTGAAGACGTACTCGACGTTGTCCACAACAGCCTCGCGCAGGTGGCGAATACAGCGCTTGTTGTTCGAAGTATCTCTGACGGTTCTTTCTGCAACACATGGTGAGAGGTGTTTGAATTGAGTTTTTGAAGCGTTCAAGTTGTGTCTGTAGTGCTGGAATTCAAGAAGATGATGATTGTTTCATCGTGGTCTTGTGCTCACCTTTATACTATGTCGAGTACTATCACACAGTCTGACGTACGTATCGCAATAATGCCCTTTTGTGGATGCCTGCAGTAGAATGCGGCGTTTGCAGGATTGTATTCTCGCTTTCGGTAGTGTTAACACGCCAGACGAGTTGAGCAGATTGACCCGGTGCGGTCGATATGTATGATTTACGGCCGCAAGACGGTGACGTATGGCAATAGTGGCGTCGTCTACGCAGTGATGATTGGCTACTCAACCTACCATGAGGCATGCCGTTCTAAGCGAATGCGAACTGTTCATGTTCCTTCCAGCTTCAGAGACTACCATTTCTACAACCGAAACTTAGCGTGTCCTAGCCACAATCCGAGAGGTGAGATTCCTAACGGCGTTCACAGTTGGAGCTTGTTCCTACGTTGCAGGTTGCGCAGACCCAGGCAGTCAGGCCAATCGCTGCGATAGTCTAGTCGAACGTTAATCAGGGCCTTGGAACGTTCCCCACAACACGCGATACTGGAAGCACTCTTTCTGCCTTGCCTTGCGGCGGCCATTAGACTGAAGCCACAGATTACTTCAACAAATATGTGTGGAATTACATGACAATCGATCGTAAACCATTGATATGTGTCGTGGGGCCATGGATGAGGGGCAGAAGGATAGCGTAGGAAAAAGACGGGTGAGCACACCTATGATTGGACAAAGGCAGTAAAGAAGCATGGTGCATGGCCGAAGCAATGGGCGAATGAACGTCTCCGCACCTCTCACAGGTGCACAAGATGGGTTTCTTCAGACCCTTGGGCAGCGGCGCTGAGTATGTGCCATGGAGGGACAGACTGACTGTACTCGACGAAACTTGCTTTTGGCCCGGGGTGTGTACCGGCATGCCGAGTCTAGGCGCAAGGCACAGTGATTGGCAGAAAAGGCCGATGGTGCACGTCTGCCTGATAGACGATGGGACGGATAAGCAGCTTGGACGGGTGACGATGGGTTGGGCTCAACACAACGGACGTGCAATGTCAGCATGCCTTGGTTGCTGGCCCGCAGATAGGGGCCCGTGGATGAACGATAGTTCCGTGGATCGAGCGGTGCATCTTGGGGCCGATCTCTCTCGCCCAGGCCGCGACGACGATGGGGGAGAGGCTAAAGTCAGCCCTGGCTATACTCGAGGCCGCTAAGAGCCGGAGGGCCAACAAGACGGCAAGCAGCCCAACGAGACGAGTCCCGCCGTGGGAATCGAGCAGGCTGGTGTAGCGCAGCGCGTCGTCAAGTGGTCGAGATGGGGTACCTGTGTGACGGGTGAATCCAGGACTCGCACAGTAATCAAATTAGCTCCGACGCGCCTTCCCTGGGCGCATCACCAAGTGGGCAGTCGCGCCCCCGTCAACGCTATCCTGAGGGTTTCACTTGCACTTCTGCCGCCTCTCCTCCCCTCCCATAGCCGCCCCATTGCTTGCGCCTGCCCACTGCCTCTGCCTTGAATGATGAAGTGCTAGGCTGCCGCTATCGCCCTTCCGCCTCTGCTGCATTGCATCCCCCGCTGGCTGCGATTCCTGCCCTGCCGCCCATTGGCTTGACTCTTGCGTGTGCCAGAGCCTCGACAGCGCGCATCGCCCAGGCCCGCCGCCCGCCCACGCTCACGCCCTCGACCGCCGTGCCCTGCCTGCCACTTCCACTGCCCCCGACACCCACCACCTGCCCAGGACCCGCTGCCGCTGCCGCCGTCGCCAACACCATCACTGCCGCCATCCTCACCATCGTCGCCATCTTGACCGCCGCCGACGCGCAATTCTTCTGCGCCGCCGCGTCCTTTGTCGCAGCCACACCCGCCGCACCGCCGTCAAGACAAAGGCCGCCATGGCCGCCCGGCCGAGTCCCAGCAGCACAAGCCCCTCGAACCTGTCCAACAGCCCCTTCCCCCACGGCTCTCACGGCTCTCACAGTAGCTCCACCTCGTCGTCGCCGCCCAAGCCCTTTGCATCGCACAACACCATGACGGCCGACGTCTTCGCACCGCACATGTACGCTATGCCGGGAGCCGTCGGAGAGCGCAGGCCCCTCGACAAGAGCCCCGCGAACCACGCGCGCTACTCCATCCTGTTGCGCAAACTCCCGAGCAGCAGCGATCGCGACGCCGTACGCAACATCCTGCTGTTCGCCAAGGACCTGATCGACTGCGAGATGCTTCCACCGTCCAGACATGCCGACGACAAGGGCTTCGCATCTGCCATTGCGCATTTCCAGACGCTCGACGGCGCGAAAGAAGCGCGTCACCTCCTCGACGGGAAGCGCAATGCAACCAACGATGCGACGCTGGTCGTCGAGCTGACGCAGGACGCATCGCCTGGCGCAATCGGCTCGCGCCGCAACACAGTCGACAGCACGCCGGCGCGACAACCGTCTGGCACAAGCGCCATGACCGGCGCGACAATCAACGCCCGGCAGTCATCGCGATACAACGGCACCTTCCAAAACATGGAGAACATGTCCCCACCCAACGGGACCCCAGGTCTTGGCAACGGAGAGTTCCCGGTCACCAACCTTTTCTCGCCGACATCCCCCGTCAACACCTCCTTCACGAGCCGCAATCTGGGCAAGTCGGTCATCAATGAAGACGCCGACGACGACGATGGCCTGCTTAACGAGTCGATTGGATATGCCACGGGTGGCCCGCCAATGCACTCCAGCATGCAGCGTCGCGCTACCAACCCCCATACCCCTTCCATTCCCATACAGCGCTTCGGATCTCTTTCTCTAAACACAAACGGAGTGACGAATGCCACGTCCCCGCCTCTATCCAACTTTGCTTCTCCACGTTCTGGATCCAACATGCAGTCGCCCGGCCCAGCCTTGTCTGCCTTGTCACCACACAGCATTCCCTCCGCATTGAGCAGCGGACCCAATACAGGCTACCAGCAGTATACGCAGCATTTCGCACGGCCAACTTATCCCCCAGTAAACCCCGCTGATCAAAACCCACCATGCAACACTCTTTACGTGGGCAATCTTCCCATGGACACGTCAGAAGATGAGCTCAAAGCTGTCTTCTCCAAGCAACGTGGGTACAAGCGACTCTGTTTCCGCACCAAGCAGAATGGACCCATGTGTTTTGTCGAATTCGAAGACACATCCTTTGCTACCAAGGCTCTGAATGAGCTCTATGGATACATGCTCCACAACAGCGTCAAGGGCGGCATCCGACTGAGCTTCTCTAAGAATCCCTTGGGCGTACGTAGTGGCCAGAATTTCGTCATGGGCCCGCAGTCTGCCATTGCTCCTTCCACACCTCTTTCGGGTTTCGGTAGCAGTGCCGCAGGCCCGCCTGGCTTTTCCACGGCTACCGGCCCACCGCCTGGCTTGTCAGTACCTCCGGGCTTGTCCACCACAGTACACTCAAACAACAGCTCTGGCTTTGGCATGTATTCCAATGGTGGTTTTGGCATGGGCCACAACGACATGGCAGGTGCTATGCGCCAGCCTCTTGCGTCCAGTGGTGCTGGGAACGGCTTCTCAGGCTATTCCACTTACATGATGGGGCGCTAGAGACACCAACAGACATTTGTTATGCCATTATGAGTCATGATTGAGGAGTTGAGGGTGCTCATCGAGGAGCGTTTGCATGTTCGGTCTTCATTTATTGTTGCCACTATATCCTGTCCTTTCAATCATGGCAAGGTGTTGAGTCGTTTGGGTTGTATTTGGCTTCATTAACGCACGGGCATGGGTACTGGCGCGGGGTGTCCAGGGCTATCATGCCCAGTGGGTGTGGCTCTCTTTGCAGCATACAGCGATGATTCCCCCTTGTGCGATTTGCTTGTTTTATCATTGTACCGGAGTATGGAGAACGGTCTTTTTTTTTCGTTGCAATAGTACGCATTGCCTTGGCCTTGCGCCTACCTTCGCCCCTTGTTACCTTGGATCTTCTTGAGGAGCTGGACGTATCTTGGAGTATGGCGAGGAGTTAAACATGTCCTTTTCCCCTCACGTGCCAAGAACTGCATGTAAGACTTGTCGCTACTATTATGAATCCCTAAAACGCGTGCATTGCTAGCTTTGTTCTTCTGAGTATGATAGTGAGGCGATTATTGTATTGCTGTGGCTTGCCGTGGGTTCTTTCCAAGTCATGAACCGTAATCAATTTCGGAGCTCCTTGCACTAGGTACATTCATCAGCTGAGTTCCGTGGCATATTGCTGTCACAGCAGGTGCTTTCTCTTCTCTGCGCGTCTACCTGGGCGTCGATACCACAGCCTCGTAACCTTCAATAATGTTTCGTTCCTGCTTATGCGCAAGATTTGTTAGTAAAAACAAAGTACCCCGGTAGTAATCTGTAAGACTCAGTTTGAAAGGTCGAAGCAAGATTTGACGATGCTGTGTGTCGATAGCTATGCATTGTTGTGCCCAGATACTTGGGTAACAGCAAATCTATCCAACCAGTGTTTCGCCGCTCCTCTATGAGAGTAAAGAAGATAACTCTGTCATCCTACCTCGCTTTCGGTTACGAAAGATCCATTTAGACGCGGAATGTTCAGGGGATGTTTGTAGAACGTCTTCAATTGGGCGAGGGCCACGATCTGACTGAAGCCCCACGCGCGGAATCATTGCGCAGCGCCAAGCGCGGCTGACTGATCGATTGCAAATCCTCCGGTACCACGGACTCCCGCACCCGGCATACCGTTAGCTACAGATTTCACTGTAAGGTCGATCTTCAGGAGTCAAAGGTTATCATGATCAAGCAGCTTTCTCAGCATTGGCATTAAGTCCGGAGTCCCGTTGTTGTGATCACGTCATGCCTACCTTTGCCCCGCGCTCGTTGTTGACAGGACTGGTAACGGGCCTATTCCTCGCCTTGTTATTGCAGCATGTGGTGCCTGCTTTGAAACTGCCGACCTACCATAGTCACGACGCGTCTGTAACATCTACACCGCTATACCTATCCGAGTCGATGGCGCAGGTTGTGAGAAATAGCCTCCGCGCCGCTAGGCATCGTGCGTGGGTCGGCGGTGGATACAAAAGCGCATCGTCGCTGCTCTCTCCATCTCCAACATCTGCTCTTCGCATCCATCCAGCCTCTCCAACTACATCACGCACCATGTCTACCCAGAAGTCTTTCTTCGACGCTGTTATTGAGCGTCGCACATACTACCAGCTCAACAAGGAGTCGCCCATCTCCGACAAGCAGATCACTGATATTGCTGAGAAGGCTCTTCTTCATGTCCCTTCATCCTTCAACTCTCAGAGCACCCGTCTGGTCGTTCTTCTGAACAACGACCATGAGAAGTTCTGGGACTTTGTCCTTGAGGTTCGTACTATCTGGAGGACTCCATGCGAGGTGTAGAGTGTTGTACTTAATACAGACTAGGTCCTGAAACCCCTCACTCCTGAGGAGCAATTCCCCAAGACTGAGCAGAAGATTGGAGGATTCAAGGCGGCGAAGGGAACAGTAAGTGCATATATCGTATTATCAGACACCATCTAACAAGATGCCCTCAGATTCTCTGCTACGAAGACCCCGAGCCAGTTGAGGGTCTCCGCAAGGCCTTCCGTAAGTGATCTCGATTATCCACCTAGCTCTCATGCTCACATCCATCGCAGCTCTCTATGCCCACCACTTTGGCGACTGGTCTGAACACACGAACGCCATGCACCAATACGCTCTCTGGGTCGCCTTGGAAGCCGAGGGCCTTGGTGCCAACCTGCAACACTACAACCCCATCATCGACCAAAAGGCTGCTCAGGAATGGAGCATTCCCCTAGAGTGGAAGCTTAGGGGTCAGCTGGTCTTCGGTGGACGCGCAGGCGAGCCCGGCGAGAAGAAGTTCCAGGAAGTGCAAGGCAAGAGACTGTTTGTGCACGGAGCGAAGGAGTAGATGCGAGTACTGAGTACGGCAACGCAATAGAAACAAGTCCCATCGCTTTCACCTATGAAAAGACGCCGAAGTTCTCAGTATATCATTTCCTTTCCGACACTATCTTCCGGTCGATCCCAAAATGCTTGTCTAGGAACAAGAAGCTTCTCTGGGCTAACAAAGGCCAGGCTCCAATGCTAGCCGACAACCCGCCATCTGCTGGCTCCGCCGGAGTCCAGAGTTCCTTACTTCCTTCCGGCACCTTGGTGAGTAGCTTGTGGATTTTGACTGCCCCACTTTCTGCGGAAGAGTACATCTCGGCACCCCCACCCGGTCCCGTAAGAAGTACAGGACACGTGACCCTGTTCAGGATCTTTCCATCTTTCTTGGTGTCCAAAGAGAAGTCCTCGAGGCGTCGCAGCATCATACCGGGCGAATCAACACCCATGCTACTCACACCTAAGCCTAACTCCCATCGTATCTGGAAACTCCACCAGCTCTGCAGACTCGCGATCAAGTTGAACATTTCCTTGGTGACCCAACCGCCCTTCCATAGGCTGACGAAGGATTGCGGCACTCGCGTCATCGCAAGATCGAACATGCTGGAGAACGGATCAATGGACACGCAGGCTTTGACACGGGAGTCGGTGGCTGCGCGCAGAGCAAAGTAGCCCCCAGTGACAGCGCCCGCAACAGCAATCCTATTCAGATCCAACTGCAACTCCGGCTGCGATCGAGCCAAATCCTCAAGGAACCCCAACACCTTGTCTGCGACGACCTCAAAGTCAGGCCGAAGAGGAACCCCCGACTTCTTCAACAGCAAACCCTGCCCCGGGCCTTCTAGTAGAAGCACGGCATAGCCCAGCTGCGGGCCCGAGTAACCGAACAGGAAATGCAGCTCTTCTTTTGTAGAATCAGCACCGCTGAAGTACAGCAGAAGTGGTATTTTGCCCGGCAGTCTCGCCTCTGGAGGAGGAAGGTACAAGTACGCCGGCATACTAACCCCGTTCTCATACGGAACATCCACCAACCTAACCGCCCCATCCATAAACGCCGTTGCTCTTACAAACGCCCCAACCGACCTCTCCGACAACGGTACAACTCTCGGGTCATCATTGAGAAACAGGTACGAAGCTGCGCGGAAATAGTTCGACGCGCGCAGGTACCCGTTCTTCGCCATGGCGCTTAGCCCGTTCTTAGCAGCATTCTCTGCGATTTCTTCAGCCCGCTCTCCTTGTTCTTTCCACGCCGAGTGCCAGGATTCTGGATCGTTTTTCTTGATTTTGGAGGTGGCGGTCAGGAACTCGGCTGTGTCGCAGCCGCCGGCTGAGGTGCTGCCGAGGAGACGGGTCAGCTCGAAGTCGAGGATGAGGTTGTTGAAGAATTTGAACATGGTGGGTTTTGCGCGAGATTGATGCGCGCTGTTTTGGGTTCAATCTGTTGGTACTGTGGACCTGTGTGATACTAGCAGATGATGAATTTGGTCGCTTCTCTGTTTGACAAACTGAAGCGCCCTGTCGAAGTATCCGCAGGTACTTTTTTCGCAACGATTTGGTGGGCCTCGAACTGCCTCGGTGCCTCAGCTCCACACCCGATTGGTTTCGATCTTTTTTGCAAGTTCCGATTCGGTGCTGACACGCCACTACTGAGTTCGTTGTGCTGCCTGTCGTGCATTGCCGAATTCGGGACTTTTGCAACCGGCACTTTACATGTCCGGCCAGTCCCTTCACGCTGCGGACATGGCAAACATGTCGACGAACTTTCGGTATTACCTCTGATCTCTCCATTCTTGGTCCTTATTGCCAGTTTCTTCATTCCACCGGCCCAGTCGAATCAAACGAGCTCATACCCAAACGAAGATGGCTGCCCCTCCAGAAGTCACAATGCATGACCTCACAGGTTCCTGGTTGCTAGTAAGTCACTCCAGACACTCTCTGAGTCGTCTCCCCAATCCGTCCAACCACCGCTAACAACCGCAGAACAAAACCTTATCCGACTCGCTCGACCCCGCCTTCGTCTTCCAAGGCATCCCATGGATAATCCGCAAAGTAATCAGCCTTGCCACGCTATCCATGAAAATCGCCCACTCGGTCGACGAAGCCGGCATCCCAACCATGATCTTCACCCAAGCCGCCTCCGTCGCAATCGCCGGACTGAGCGAAGAGACGGAGACGCGATGGCTAGACGGACGAGAAAAACTCCATTCTTCGTCCTTGTTCGGCACATCTTCTGCTCGGACTCGGATGATCTGTCTTGATACTGCTACAGGGTATGATGGGAAACCGCTGGACGCGGAGTTGACGAAGGATTCTCTACGGGAGGGGAAGAAGGGCGAGGAGGAACATCTGTTTGATCTTGTTGTGCATCAGACTAAGGGGTGGGTTATGGAACAGATATGGGGGTTTGGTATGCTGAATGGAGAGAGGAGGCTTTTGAGGGTTATGGGACTGAAGAAAGGGGGTCAGGCGGTTTATTGCATGGCTTGGTATGATTGGAAGGGGAGAGATGGTGGTAATTGAAAGGCTCTGTTGCCTTCACCCAGTCGCAAGTATCTAGATACTCAAAGCCGTTGTTCTATACTTCTAAGGTTCTTGACTATCAAACTATTTGTGACTATGCGACCTACATGCGACCAGTGTGCGTTACAAAGGTCTCAGTGTGTCAAGCTTTCTCCTAACTTGTATTCGCCATTCAGACCACTGCTGCTCATCATGAGAATATCGCTACAGAAAGGGCCGTGATGCTGCCGAGATACGTCATCATGACGTACCAGATGCGCTAGTGCCCTGTTCCAACAATATGAGATAGCAAAGTGGCATTGAAGCATACTACACTCCATACGGTATATACCCAGCCACCGCATCTAGCATCGCGCGATCATGTTCTCCCAACCTACAGCAATAATCAGTCCATCACCAGTCATCATGTCTCCCAGCTCCCTCACCACGGAGACCAGGCCCTGACAAAGTCAACAGCATAGTCTTTCTTCGTCCCCAAGAACCCTACGCCATACAGGAGCCAAACAACCCACTGAGGAATATACAGCGGAAACTTGGCCTGCTCCGTTAACCCACGCCCTTCATATTGCGGCCCACCAACCTCGCCGCCAACAACACGGTCCGCAAAGTCACTCATACCAAGGCCTTCACCGATGCCCAGCTCAAACCACATCAACATGTGCTGGGTCTCGAACCGCCACTTCTTGTCTCGAGCCGGCGACACAAACTCGAAGACTCCGCCGGTGTTGTTGTCGTGATACGATCCTCCGCATTCGCCACCGCTGTTATACGTGTCTAAGAAGTAGTCCTCGGTCTCGGAGACGTCTCCAACTCGCGTGCCCACTAGAAGCTCGTCGTCGTAGAAAAGAACGGCCGAGGTGAACTTCTTGCCCAGATCTTCTCCTACGCGTGATACCACGTGCCAGTAGGCGATGGTGTAGGGCCCTGCCCAGAGACGTAGAGCTACCCAGCTCTCTGTTAACGGAAGCCAGCCATCTTTGGCCCAGAGACGGGTTGAGCCGCCTCTACCGCTGAATGAAAGCTTCTGTCCAGATCCCAGAACACTGTCCATGACCACTTCGCCACCGGCGACAGGCTGGCTGTAGTAGAGGTCGGGTGAGAGTAGCGCGGCGTCTGCTGCATTCTCGCCCTCTGAACCTGGTGTCGAACCGTCGGCGTGGACTGGGGGTGTGGTGGCTGATAGCTTGTATGTGCCGCGTATGCCTGGCGAATCGAAGACGAGCTTGGAATGTTTGAGGTCCTTGGTGGTATAGAATGAGTATGATTTCCCTGTACTATTCCAGATGCCGTAGGTATAGCCAGGGCAGTCCAGAATGGTGGACTCCTCGAGGTACTCGAGTAGCTTATGATGCTTGCCGTCCCCAGTGTTGGCGAAAAAGTCCACTCGTAGGTTGCCTCTGCCAAAGTAGTGCATCGAATAGTCGCGTGAGAACATTATCGCCAAGAGTGAAACGCCCGTGTGGGACATGCCATCGAATTCCCATTGCTCCCAGTTGGTCTTATTAATGAGTGGGTTGATCTTTATCGAGTTGATGGGATCAGATGGGGATGATGAAAAGTTGTTGGGACCGTCGAGCACTTCGAAAGCTGTGCTCCTGCTAATGGTACAGGACTCGTCGTCCCATTTTGGGTTCAGGTCGTCATCAACGGGAAATTCCGAGGGACCTAGAGGTAGCTGATGCAGGTTTGCGGCGGTGAAAAGACAGAGGAACGACGCAAGGATGAGTGCCGTGAACATCTTCGACATGGTACCGGAGCTGAGCTACTGCCTGATCACTGCGGTGAGTCGGCTGGAACAACGGACTTCGCTCACGTATTACCTTCATTATACGGGTCGAGCATGGGTTCAAGGTGTTTCTCTTTCTCACAGCACTGCAAAAAGTCCCGAAAAGTCCTGGTATACACTTCGCTAGCTCTAGAAAGTCCCGACCTTGCTCTGTCAACTTCCGAACCCCCGAAAAGCACCAATAGCTACCACGTTAGAGTCCCCCCGCCTGAGCTGAGAGGTATGTAGTAAGCTTACTATCAGAGTGAAAAGCAGCGAGCTGCATCTCGGGCACGCCATGAATCCAGGTGACTCGGCATACTAGGATTGCGCTTCTCTACAGAGTACCAAACCATGGCAACATCAATTCTCCCAACGCTGCCCCCATTACGGCAGGCTGTCGTGCAGTCAGCCACGACAGCCGGGTCCTTTGACCTCCGCACTGACCTGCCCATGCCAACCATGTCACCTGACCATGTACTCATCAAGGTGAGTGCAGTGGCAGTCAACCACTGGTGAGTTTTGGCTGTACGCAGTGCATGTGAGACATATACTGACTTCGCACGTCTATCTCTGTAGCGACTACAAAATGCCAGCCCGAATACATTGTCCCAACACGGTCGACGGCTGCGACTTCTCAGGCGTGGTCGTGCGTGTTGGCGACGCTGTTGCCAGTACTCCCGGCGGTCTGGAAATTGGCGATCGCGTTGCTGGCGCTCAGATGGCCTCTCAGGCTCGACGACCCTGGTCCGGTGCCTTCACTGACTACATCGCGGAGAAACCTGACAACCTGTGGCGTGTTCCCGACCACTTCTCTTGGGAGCAGGCGGCTTCGATAGGTTGCGCTGTGGCCAGTAGCGTGGGAATGGCGCTTTGGTGGGAGATGAAGCTGTCTGGAACGCCCGAAGAACCAACGAAAGACCCCAAATTCGTTCTGGTCTATGGTGGATCCACCGCCAGTGGAACCTTTGCCATGCAGCTGTTGAAGATGTGAGTGACCCATTGTTTCCCTTTCGCTACGAAGTGTCGTGAGCGTATGATGATTGATCTAACGTATTCGTAGGTCGGGCTATAGAGTCATCACGACCTGCTCTCCCAAGAACTTCAAGCTTGTGGAAGAATATGGAGCCGAGAAGGCGTTTGACTACCACTCGCCGACGTGTGGGGAAGATATACGAGCATACACCAAGAACTCGCTGGAATATGCACTAGATATCATTACCGAAGCGAGGTCTATCCGCCAGTGCTACGCGGCTATTGGACGTGGTGGTGGTAGATACATCGGTTTTGAGCTTCTGCCGGATGAACTCATGGCCACAATGAGGAAGGCTGTCAAGCCAAGCTGGGTCATGGGTTTAGAAGTGGCCGGATTAGAGTTGGAATTACCAGGAGGATACTATCGCAAGGCAAACCCTGAGCTGCATGACTGGCTTCATGGGTGGATCAAGCGCTTCGCCGCCTTGCTCGACTCCAAAAAATTGAAACCACATCCCATGCAGATCAACCCGGGCGGATTAGCCAAGGTCATTGACGGACTGGGAGTCTTGCAGCGTAAGGAAGTCTCAGCGCAGAAGCTGGTATATCCTTTGTATGACTATTAGATAGTAATGATAGCCCATTCCGACTTGATCTAGTCGTCAAGAAATGTCATTGACTCCTTGATACTGGCTCGTATCGACTCTACGTACGAGCTGCTTCCATGCAGTGACTTGACATCCTCCTGTGCCATAACGGTCCAAAACAGCCGGAGTCGTTGCGCACTGGAGAAGATACCCGAAGCGGCCGCGGTGGATGAGGCAACTGCCTCGCCTGAGAGACAATATTCTGCTGGAATCCCCATGCAACACTCTAGGGTTTGTACCTGGCCCTGAATTGCGTCTAGAATGCCTATAGCATACGCCTTGAGGGGCATGTCTTGAAGCGCAGAGACACCGCCGATGCGGAGTACCGACTTGACCTTGATGGTCTTGTACGACTCTGGCGACACTTGGCAGAGATATTTGTGGATGCGCTGGAATAGGGAGTCGAAGAGCCTCATCAACGCAAGGTAGCTAGACAGAATTAGGAGTAGGGTTTCCGTGTTTAGTGTATGTTCGGTCTGCATGTGTAGCTGCCTCGCTGGTGTGAGGTTTTGGATAATCCCGGTGAACTCTTTGGTGCATGTCAGGAGTAAAGCTGCTGGATTCTCGACATCTCTTCCCGCAGCCTCATCCTTGCAACGCTGTTGAACTTTGGAAGCATTTGAGTAGTATGTGTCAATTGTCGCGATGCGCTGGTCTATCTCCTCTCGGAACATTACTAGAGAGCTTGCGGCGGTGGAGAATTGCGGTAGTGGCGTTGGGTCGGAAATCTCCCCACAACTAAGTAGCGGGCCAGTATTCGAATCAAGACCCGTGCTAGGAACTCCTTCCATATGAAGCATCATGTCGAATTCATCGTTTGCACCTGGAAGTCCCTGAAACTGCGATGAAGTGCCAAGCTGATCCGCTAGGGAGACGCTGTCTGCCCCCGACATGGGACTATGATCCATCGAAGAGGGATAAGAGTCGAAGAAAGCGGAGATGTCGCCCGTCGCACCCCAGAAATCTGGTAATGGCTCATGAGCAGTGGGGTCTCTTGGCGAAGGGAGGTGCATGGCGGAATCATTCGCTTGTGTAGGCGTGGGAACCATTGATGTCGCAGTTGCATGAGCGTTTTCGTGGTTGACATCTCGCAACGTCGACGGGCGTTGGGCTCTGGGCGAGGCGACGGCATGACGCTGCTTGGGCGGTCTTCCAGGGTGACCGGCGGCGCCTGTTACGCATTGCGCGCCCATGTAGCAGCAGCGAGCGCACGCCGCCGTGCTGTCTTGGGCTCGAAGGCATCGAACCCGCTTTGCCCTGCACTGGTCGCAGGCGGAGCGGCGAACTGCGGACTTGTGCATAGTTGGTGTAGTGCTTAGATAGGCGCGGAAATGGGAATGCAACCCAACCGAGTTAAAGGAGATATTTCGTATGATTTGACCAGGCACGGCTGACTGTTGTTGCGTGAATTAGTCACGTGGGGAAACCCCCCGAGGAGGGTTTGTGATTAGCCAATCAGCAACGATTGTCCCACTTTAAACCCGGGCCATGTCGAGGTGCGTGTGAAGGAGCGTAGTAGCCGTCCTTTGGAGTTCACGGTGGCACGCGATGCATTCTGCCTCGTGTACTTTGATTTGAAGCTCTGGAACTCTGTATATCAGATAATCGTTGTTAATAGCACATAGTTGAGTTGTGGATTTAAATGTTCATTCCGCTAGGAAAGACTCTATGTATGCGGTGGCTTGCATCGAAGCAGGGAAGTTTCCCGCAATCTTCGATACCTGTAGCTAGTGCTGGGTTGGCCTTGGTCTATCAAATCCTATTCTGTTGGCATTCAGGTAATAGAATCACGATGCTGGAGCCTCAGCCTTTGTTGCACCTTTCGCTTCCTCCTCGGTGGGCTTGTCTTTACTGTCTGTCATGCCAAATTCAGTGTCGTTCTCCCTTCTAAGCGGTACTTGCTTCAGCAAAGCAGCAGCAATGAAGCCTACTCCACCAAAGGCGATGGCAACCTGCCAGGATCGCTGGAGCGCGGTGCTCTGTACAGATATTACTTGCGCACGCACCTGAGCGGACAGTGTGTCAAGGAAGTCGAGCTCGGCTGCCGCGTATGCGCCGCCCGTCATAAACTGAGCAGCTACCATCTTGTCGCTGATGGCACCTGAGCGAGCCAGCTGCGCAGCGCGGTTGGTGTAGGTGGTACCGGCGATGGCCACGCCCCACAAAACGCCGAAGCTTCGCATGAAGCCCCACGTGGCCGTCGCTACTGCTGTATCCTTGTCGCTCAGAGAGGCTAGTAGCGCGGGGAGCATGGCCCCCATGCCGAAGCCCGCGCCAAAGGATTCAATCACCTGGAAGCCCACCCACGCGCCTGCACTCGACCTCTCATCCAGGAGCGTGAATACGCCAAACCCGATGACGATTAAGGCGAAGGAAGTGGCGAGAATGGGCTTGTAGCGACCGAACTTGCTGAGTAGCAACCCGCCGCCGATAGCGCCTGGGAGAAGTGCGAGGATGGTGGGAAGAAGATAGATGCCGGCCTTGTATGCATCTACTGCGAGAACGCCTTGGAAGTATACTGGGAGGAAGTAAAGCGCCCACATAGTGACAATACCGTGGAGAAAGGCGAGGAGGAAGACGATGAGGCTCATAGAGTTGCCGAAGAGATGGAGTGGCATGATGGGATTTGGCGTCAGGCGAGCATTGCCTTCAAGTACGATGAAGCCCCCCAACGTGGCCAACCCAAGCAAGAGCGGTACGAGGACTTGGTAAGATGACCATGGATATTTTCCTCCTGCCCAGCTAACGGCAAGTAGGACCGGGGCACAACCACTGACGAAAAGTGCGTTGCCCAGCCAGTCGAGGCTCGAAGCCTTGGTGGCCCAAGTCTGAGATTTGTCGTATTTGACCTTCAGAAAGGCGAATAGCAGTACGACCGCAACGCCGCCGATGGGAAGAGCCATGTAGAAAGCCCAGCGCCAGGTGCTGTAACTCACGAGCAGTCCGCCAAAGAAAGGACCAAGAGCAGCACCGAGACCGACCATGCCAAACACGGCGCCCATGTAGGTTCCCCTCTCTCGAAGCGGTACTAAGTCGCAGATGATAATCTCACAGAGGACGGCGACTCCTGCTGCTCCAATCCCCTGTACCACTCGACCGCCGATCATTTGGGATATGTTGGTCGCTCTGCGCATTCATCTTCTCATCAGCAAAGACTTCGAGCTTGACACGAAGAAATTGGATCGCGAGTCGGATTTCAAGGGTGTGATAACTTACCCGCCACAAACGCCACTCCCTATCATGAAGACGACCGCTGATATGATCATGGGCCACCGACGACCGAATACATTGGCGAGCTGTCCATACATGGGCATCAAAGAGGTCCTATCTGAATCAGTTACGGGTTCGTCGCTCAGGCACAAGGCTCTCTGGGGCAGAAGCCTTACATGGTCAAGAAGTATGCATTAGAAACCCAGATGAATTCTTCGCCCCCACCCAGATCGGCGACGAGAGATGGCATAACCGTCGAGGTAACTGTGGCCTCCAAAGCCGTGAGAAGGCTCACTAGTGAGAGGACGACCATGATGGCCCAGAATCTTGGACCTTTCTGGAACTTTGGCGGGTTCTTTTCCGTTGTCGCATCCTGGGCATCGACCGAAGCTTCATTTGACTCCGAGTTCGGAGCGGCTGGGTTTTGCTGTGTCATCTCACAGAACAGGAAGGACGGCTGGAAGGATCGTTTGACCTTTTGGGCGATAGGCTGACCGTGTGGTTGGTACCAGGTTTGTAGTACGATGATGCGCAGGCAATGGGCTGTGTTGAAACCTTGGTACAGGAAGTTGATGGAACGTCCGGAAGTATTCGCACCTTTGGTTGCATGTGAGGAACTGTCTGTGACTACGTATTCAAGGCTGCAAGAAGCCTGGCCATCACCGCGGAGGGTTTTACTGGGTGGGCCATAGTCAACCTCGCAGGGTTTTGCGATCCTCCGCGGCTAGATGTTGGAAGTGGAATTATTTCAGCTCGGTCGACAGGCTTCCTGCAGGTGGCTTGGAAGCTACTGCTTTCAAGTGTGACAAAGCCCCCAAACACATGTTGGTAGACACCTCGCTGCCTTCCACCGGTGTATACATTCCGCACCTTGTTTTGGTTAGCGTTCCGGCAAAAGCGCGGGCACGAAGTAATATTGAGCCACATCTCCAGCCACAGATGGTCACCGCAACACTTTCCGTAAGTATCATATCTAGGTACACCCGCATGTCTCATGTACATATTCAATCCAACGAGCAGATGACGCAATAGATGACGACGGCTGTTAGCGTGACGAAGATAGGATAAAGCCTTAATCAAACCGTCGCGGAGAAGTCCATGTGAGGCCCCCTGGCGTGAGTTCGCAATCAGATCCCCACCCACCTGGGCAGCCCACGGGTGGCTCCTACGGGTGGCCCAACGGCCCGCCGCCGTATCCCGCGTTTGGGGTCGCACTGTAACGCAGGCTTTCAAGGTTGGGTCGCACCTTCGGGTCGTACTGTCACGCCTTCGCTTAATGAACGAATGGTTTGCCATGCGTCCTGCAAGTTCAAAAGTCTCGGCGACCTTGAATCCTTCACGGCAAGTCCCATTACATCCCGCCATTTGGACGAGGAGCCAAACGGGTGTCCTTAGAGACATTGGCTATATCTTCCATCCACTAACACATTGCATTCATGCCACAGCTGCACACCTCAGCTAGCATTCGGCTCCTCCTCGTTCAACGCTCGGGAGAGCAGGTTTCTTGATTGAGTGGTCGTTGGGTCTCCACCACCAACTCTCTGCCTGGCAGCAGCACGCCGCTCTGGGGCCTGCGATAAGAACCTATTCTGCGGGATAAGACAACAATAGAGTCAGTCCTATCATCTTCCTCGTGTTTTACAAGGTTCTCTGCTGTACATCATTAGCCTCACGTAAGCTGGTCATAGCAATATCGCAAGCTTGCCGAGAAGTCTCACTTGCTTCTTTAGCTGAAGACTAGCCTCAATCCATACATTGGGGAGTCACGGCATATAGTTCGCACTATCACCGTCGCTCGTCCTTACCTGTCTAGGTGCTACCGACCTAGCATGTCCTCGCATGATTTACTCGCGGACCTTTCTTTGTTCCCAACATGCCACGTCTAGATTCTTCCAGCTGCTTCTCGGGTTGCAAATCGGGTTCTATTGTGGAGACCCCAAAGAAAGAAAAGTCCCAACAGCTGGCATGTGACAGATGTCGAGGTCAGAAGCTGCGATGCATACGGAGCTCGAATTCCAAGGCCCCTTGTGAGAGGTGCCAGAAAGCCGGTGCAACGTGTATCATCGATACCGGGATACGGATGGGTAGACCGAGACGGGCAGACAAGGAGCAGTCTCGAGAGAGCAGCGACAGTGCTCACGACCCATCCAAACCCACGCGATCATCACCTCTTCCCAACGCTGTATCGCAAACGAGAACCGCTGTCGACTTTACCATGGACAGCGACGCTTGGCTAGTACATGATCTCGACGATACACCGATTGACCCAACGTTACAAAGTGTCACAGTTCAGTACCTGGACCCCTTCGACTTTGCACTCGCTGGGGAAGCCACACTCGAAGACGATTCGATGAATCTACCGACCGAACACTTCCTCCTTCCGACGATGGATCTTTCCACGGGCCAGTCCATTCCAACACTCACGGAAGACGAACGACCTACAATCGATTCTACCGAGCCACTCCACGGACGCGGTTGCTTTTCACCCATGCGCCAAGAGACAATGCAAGAGTTGTCAGACCTGAATATGCAGCTGTCCCGACAATTGGGGGCCGCAACCTCTACAGGGGCCGGGTCAACGAACATCCACTCGGGTTTGGGTCTGACAGCTTTGGCTACACCACCAGAGGAGAACCGTACTCTCTGCGATACTGTCATCTCTATGACGCAAAGCCTTCAAACCTACCACAGGCTGCTCGTCGACATCGTCGGACCCAATCACTCGGCTATCTACGACTCACACGACAATCGCAAGTCTAGCACTGTAGCCAGTAGTTGGCTGAGTCCAATCGAAGGATTGGACGTTGATGAGTCAAGAAGCTACATGTCTGACACGACAGGCCGATCGCCGCTAAAAAGGCGTCGAACAGATAGCAGTGTTGACTTCGCTGTAGTGCACCAGACGTCTCATAGCAGTAGCGTTGACATGCCTACGAGCCTTCTTTTACTCTCCTGCCACGCAAATCTCCTACACCACTGTCGAAATACCTTTTCCGCCATTCGAGCAGCGCTACTCGCCACACGCCGCCAGATCAATCTCTTTACGATCTCGTTTCTCAACATAGTTGACGTCTCCTTGCCTCCCGATCCGGACCTGCAGATCATTGTTCTTATTCAAGCTGTAATTAGAATGGTAGATAGAATTGGCCGTTTACTGGGCTACCCGAATGATCGCGAGGCCGGCTCAGATGGCGATGGATGCGAGAGCGATACTCGCGACAGTGTTATCCCCCGGCACCTCCTCGAGCTGATGCTGAAAAGTGAAGGATGCGGAAATGGCTCGGCAGATAGAGCAGGGACCAAGGCGCTGAAGGAGGAGATTCGCAGACTACATGAGCTTGTGTACAAGCCAGTGTAAAGGATACCGATGTGTGACAATATCGAGCGGTATTGCGAGCAAATAGATCCTCATACATACCGTTAATGAAACGATAGATAAGGTATCACTGCCCTCTGTAAACTTCACAAATTGTATTCTCCGGCACTCAGTCTTGGCAAGATACCCCCACAAATTCTAAGACGCCTTCAGGTGTTACGAATCATTACTGAACATACACCACGCCCGTGAACATGACGCTTCCCAGATTCAAGGGGGTAATTCGAGCCGAATGGGCTTCGGTGGATTTTCTGGGACGTGGTAGCCGAGTGGCGTGATATGCACGCGCTGTCAGACGGTCAGACGTGCCCAGGTGTTCGGGACTTTCCAGTTTTCCCACAACACACGTCCCACACACCTTCGGAAGCAGAAAAACTGATGCAATTGCAGGGATAAATTGCGAGCAACAAGGTGACCTTTCAGCTATCATCTCCAAAGCGTCGCAAATGTCAAGGATTACTTGATTTGGAAGCACGGAAATCAGCTTCTTGAACTCTACCAACATTGAATTCTTACCCACTACCCATCGGCCAGCCATGTCACTCGCGGAGATTGCTCTCCGGCTTCTCCGCCTCAGTCCGGCGCTCGTATCCTCCATGACCCTCATGTTCGCCCTCGACGAGCACCTGATGTTCGGAACTTGGGTGCAGGACCCCATCCGCCCGTTAGCAAACTCTATTCTTCCCGCCTGGTGGACTAGGGGCGGCCTTCGATGGCAGTGGGTGCTGATCGTCTTCTACCCCGTCGGCTACCTTCTCGGCATTCTCAACCTGCTTATACCGGGACATCAGTTCGGCTCGACGACGTGGTATGCATGGGGACTATTCTTCAGTTTAGCTCATATGCTGTTTGCACCAACGGCTCTGAGCCGCATAGCAGCTATCGAGAAAAACATTCCACATGGTAATGTTGTCATCTCCATGGAGTCTTGGCTTCGGATGAATTGGATCAGAGCTTGGACTACAGATCTGCCGGCTTGGTTGTGCTTTATTACTGCTGCGCTTAAAGCGCTGTGATGGATGATTGCAAGCAGATTGACGAGGACGATGTGAGCGACGGGGTCAAAGGGGGCGGGAGTGAGAGGGCGGAGTACGGGTGGGGGCAGTAGATTACAATCTCTAAGCTCGCAATATATGGCCAAGGCGGGTATAAAAAGAAATTTTGAACCACACTCAATGCCCAACAAGGTCCTTTTAGGCGTGCGATATGCTCACGATACGAGCTTTGTAGCGGATGATTGCACACGTTCACGGATATCTAAGGGATGAAGCTTTGATCGTTTGCGCCCCGACCTCAGGACCCACTCACTAGCCTCGCGCTAGCGGACCGTCTGCCGGAGGCTCTTTGATTCGGAGAAACTTTCTTACTAGATGATGAAAGGCTCGTCGCTTTTGGGGATAGGCGGTATACACGATTGGTATACATACAGCTGATATAAGCCAAGAGCTCGTGATTTATTGATAGGATACCCGACAAAGAGAAATATTGCACGCGCACAGCTACATCGATAACGCCAGGTCACCGAAGTGCATGGTACATTGTCCAGCACAATATCCATGGCCCTCATAATACCCCTCTCTACTACTCCAGATACAGCGCAGCGCAGCACATTAACAAAAGAGCAGTGTGCGGAATGAAGCTTTCCTTCAACTGCAAGTCAGAGTAAAGCCCTGTTATAGACAAGACGACGCCCATTGGCAGCCCGATACCACGGAGGCTCGGTACCCAGAGTACGACCGAGAGGAAGGCACTGACGCCGAGCATGAAAGCTTTCAGCTGCTGATCCGAAGGGTTCAGCCACCATGAAAACAGCACTCTATTGTGGTCCGGTAGTCTCTCTTCGAGATTTTTAGAGAAACCAGGCGTGAGCTTCGTGGTCAGGCGCGCTTGCATGGCAATAGCGAGAAAGAAGACTAGCGACTTGCAGATCCAGTCACTTATGACTGGTCCTGACGGCATGTTTTCTGTAGAAAAGCGAAGAAAGCCTTAAAGAGATAAGGTTAGCATGTTGCACACGTTGCCTTTTTTGATGAACGAACTTACTATGCTTGATGCTGGTGTCTTTGCCTGGATGATTCGATGGCCCAACGACTCGATTCGGCCTCGCTGGACTTGGTCACAACTGCGTGCTCGCTTGGATAGGTAGAGATGAACAGGAAGTATGTTTGCGGGTCGTGTTTGACGGTCGAATGGGCATGAGTGTGGAAGAAAGACCTATCCGTCTATATATTGTGTCATCATTTCGGTACTTACGATTTTCCTTCACTACAAGCGGGTGCGGCCTCAGCGCTACTACAGGATAGTACCGATACCGTGGCCCAGCAGACTATTCGGTATTTTTGTTGCCCATATCGAAAGAGAAAAGTACCGACGTTGCATGCTCGGTACTGGCCCGATCAGGCTACAGTTTCATCATAGCATCTTTATCCGCTCCGGATTCTTCCTTTGCACACTGATTTCATGTAAAGGCCCGAATCGCACTGGCTGTTCTTACACGTCTGACACCGACCCCGAAATACATCAGCCTGACAGCAACGACTCCAGATTCTCTCGAATGTTGGTGTTTGCACGAAAAGCCGAAGTCGAGAACGCCACAGGAAAGCTAGGTCAGCCCTGAGTGAGCATTTGTATGGAAGTTAGTAGGTAGTAGTGTAGTTCGATAGTACGAATGAAAGGGATTACTTGACCAAGAAAACCTTGCTTCACCAAATCCTTTCGCGCGTCTGTGATCATTGCCGAGTTTCAACACCGCGTTCCAAGCTATACGACATCTTGCATTCGCAATGACTGCCCACCGCGAGACTTCACATGGCAACGGAGAGCCAATCGCCGTTATTGGAAGCGGCATGCGCTTCCCTGGCTCTTCGAACAACTCTTCCAAACTCTGGGAGCTTCTGCTCAATCCGCGCGATCTTCTCAAGCGCATCCCGGAGGATCGTTTCAACATCGACAACTTCTACCATCCGGACCCGAACCACCACGCAACGACGGATGTTAGGGAGTCGTACTTTCTCGAGGAGGACCACCGTCACTTCGACGCGGGGTTCTTCAATATCAAGCCCGTCGAAGTAGCCGCCATTGACCCACAGCAGCGCCTGCTGATGGAAGTGGTCTACGAATCGCTGGAGGCAGCGGGAATACCGCTGGAATCCTTGATCGGCTCTCGTACCGGGGTCTACGTTGGACTCATGTGTGCCGACTACCACGACCATTTGCACAAAGACGTCGACACTTTGCCAACCTATGCTCCGACAGGTACGGCTCGAAGTATCATGTCGAACCGCATTTCGTATTTCTTCGACTGGCATGGCCCCTGTATGACCATCGACACCGCGTGCTCCTCCAGTCTGGTCGCGGTGCACCAAGCAGTCCAGCTGCTGCGAAGCGGCGACTCGGACGTCGCGGTAGCGGCGGGAGTTAACATGATCCTTGGGTCCGGGCAGTACATTGCCGAGAGCTCGCTGCACATGTTGTCGGCCGATAGTCGGTCCCGCATGTGGGATGCTGATGCTAGCGGGTATGCGCGCGGTGAGGGTGTAGCTTCTGTGATCTTGAAGCGTCTCAGCACTGCGCTCGCCGACGGCGACAAGATCGAGTGCATCATTCGAGAGAGTGGAGTTAACCAGGATGGTCGAACGAAAGGTATCACCATGCCAAGTGCTTCTGCACAGATGGATCTCATCGAGCAGACTTACAAGAAGGCTGGACTGGATCCAAAAGACCCCAATCAGCGCTGCCAGTACTTTGAGGCGCACGGAACCGGAACTGCAGCTGGCGATCCAAAGGAAGCTGAGGCTATCAGCAAAGCCTTCTTCCACCCTGGCGATAGCACGTCCTATAAGGGCGATCCACTCTATGTTGGCTCCATCAAGACCGTCATTGGTCATACCGAGGGTACTGCGGGATTGGCTGGTCTTCTCAAAGCCTCTCTCGCAGTACAGCACGGCGTCATACCACCCAATCTGCTTTTCAACAAACTTCATCCTGCTGTGGAGCCGTTCTACACCGATCTCGAGATTGCGACAAGCTCCAAACCATGGCCAAATCTCGCGGATGGTATTCGCCGTGCCAGTGTCAACAGCTTCGGCTTCGGGGGTACGAACGCGCATGTCATCGTCGAGAACTTTCTGCCTCCCACCGGCACCCCTACACCGGACAGTACGACTCTTGCCACTCCGCTGTTCTCACCCTTCAACTTCTCAGCTGCATCCAGCAGTGCATTACGAGGAGTCTTGTCTTACTACTCGAAGTACTTTCAATCTCATCCTACTGTCGATCTTGGCGATCTTTCCTACACCTTGTATGCTCGAAGATCTCATCATGCAATCCGAGCCAGCATATCGGCAAAGTCAGCAGAGGACCTCCAGGTCAAGATTGACAGCTTGCTGGCGGTATCGTCGGAGGGAAGTGCTGGCTCCAGTTTTGGCACCCGTGCGAAAGAACTCTCGCGGCCAGTACAGATCCTGGGCGTGTTCACTGGCCAGGGTGCACAGTGGCCGACTATGGGCAAAGGCTTGATGAAGAGTCCGTATATCAGGGCAATAGTCGAAGACCTGGATCGTGAACTGCAGCGTCTTCCTGAGCCACACAGACCAAGTTGGACACTTGTAGACCAACTCACCTGCGACGCGACTGAGTCTCGCGTTGCAGAAGCTGCATACGCACAGCCACTTACAACCACAATCGAGATTATCTTGTACGATCTTCTCCGCAGCGCAGGTGTCAGCTTCCATGCGATCATCGGTCACTCCTCAGGCGAGATTGCCGCAGCTTACGCCAAAGGGTTCATCACCCGAGCAGAGGCGGTCAAGATCGCGTACTACCGGGGTTACTATTCGACCATGTGTCCATCCGACAAGCCTGGAGCCATGATGGCCGCTGGCGCATCTGCAGAGGACGCGAACGAGCTTTGCGACCTGCCAATGTTCAAGGGTCGTTTGTGTGTCGCCGCTTACAACTCGCCTACAGCTGTCACGCTTTCG